CACCAGAAGACAAGGTGACCATACCCTATTTGTCTTGTCAGATGACAGAGTGACAATAGCTTATCTATCTTTCTATCTATCTCATCAGAAGAAGTAAAGTGACTATAGCTTAGCACATCAGATGATAAAGTGACTATAGCTCAGCACATCAAATGATAAATAAACTATAGCTTAGCACAATAGATGATAAAGTGACTATAGCTCAGCACATCAGATGATAAAGTGACTATAGCTTAGCACATCAGATGATAAAGTGACTATAGCTAAGCACATCAGATGATAAAGTGACTATAGCTAAGCACATCAGATGATAAAGTGACTATAGCTTAGCACACCAGATGATAAAGTGACTATAGCTTAGCACATCCGATGATAAAGTGACTACAGCATAGCACATCAGATGATAAATAAACTATAGCTTAGCACAATAGATGATAAAGTGACTATAGCTCAGCACATCAGATGATAAAGTGACTATAGCTTAGCACATCAGATGATAAAGTGACTATAGCTAAGCACATCAGATGATAAAGTGACTATAGCTAAGCACATCAGATGATAAAGTGACTATAGCTTAGCACACCAGATGATAAAGTGACTATAGCTTAAGCACATCCGATGATAAAGTGACTACAGCATAGCACATCAGATGATAAAGTGACTATAGCTTAGCACAATAAATGATAAAGTGACTATAGCTCAGCACATCAGATGATTAAGTGACTATAGCTTAGCACATCAGATGATAAAGTGACTATAGCTTAGCACATCAGATGATAAAATGACTATAGCTTAGCACATCAGATGATAAAGTGACTATAGCTTAGCACATCAGATGATAAAGTGACTATAGCTTAGAACATCAGATGATAAAGTGACTATAGCTTAGCACATCAGATGATAAAGTGACTATAGCTTAGCACAATAGATGATAAAGTGACTATAGCATAGCACAATAGATGATAAAGTGACTATAGCTTAGCACAATAGATGATAAAGTGACTATAGCATAGCACAATAGATGATAAAGTGACTATAGCATAGCACATCAGATGATAAAGTGACTATAGCATAGCACAATAGATGATAAAGTGACTATAGCATAGCACAATAGATGATAAAGTGACTATAGCATAGCACAATAGATGATAAAGTGACTATAGCATAGCACAATAGATGATAAAGTGACTATAGCATAGCACAATAGATGATAAAGTGACTATAGCTTAGCACATCAGATGATAAAGTGACTAGCATAGCACAATAGATGATATAGTGACTATAGCATAGCACATCAGATGATAAAGTGATTATAGCATAGCACAATAGATTATAAAGTGACTATAGCTTAGCACAATAGATGATAAAGTGACTATAGCTTAGCACAATAGATAATAAAGTGACTATAGCATAGCACATCAGATGATAAAGTGACTATAGCATAGCACAATAGATGATAAAGTGACTATAGCTTAGCACAATAGATGATAAAGTGACTATAGCTTAGCACAATAGATGATAAAGTGACTATAGCATAGCACAATAGATGATAAAGTGACTATAGCATAGCACAATAGATGATAAAGTGACTATAGCTTAGCACATCAGATGATAAAGTGACTATAGCTAAGCACATCAGATGATAAAGTGACTATAGCTAAGCACATCAGATGATAAAGTGACTATAGCTTAGCACATCCGATGACAAATAAACTATAGCTTAGCACACCAGATGATAAAGTGACTATAGCTTAGCACATCCGATGATAAAGTGACTACAGCATAGCACATCAGATGATAAAGTGACTATAGCTTAGCACATCAGATGATAAAGTGACTATAGCTCAGCACATCAGATGATAAAATGACTATAGCTTAGCACATCAGATGATAAAATGACTATAGCTTAGCACATCAGATGATAAAGTGACTATAGCTTAGCACAATAGATGATAAAGTGACTATAGCTTAGCACATCAGATGATAAAGTGACTATAGCTTAGCACATCAGATGATAAAGTGACTATAGCTTAGCACAATAGATGATAAAGTGACTATAGCATAGCACAATAGATGATAAAGTGACTATAGCTTAGCACAATAGATGATAAAGTGACTATAGCATAGCACAATAGATGATAAAGTGACTATAGCATAGCACATCAGATGATAAAGTGACTATAGCACAGCACAATAGATGATAAAGTGACTATAGCATAGCACAATAGATGATAAAGTGACTATAGCATAGCACATCAGATGATAAAGTGACTATAGCATAGCACAATAGATGATAAAGTGACTATAGCATAGCACAATAGATGATAAAGTGACTATAGCATAGCACAATAGATGATAAAGTGACTATAGCTTAGCACAATAGATGATAAAGTGTCTATAGCTTAGCACAATAGATGATAAAGTGACTATAGCTTAGCACATCAGATGATAAAGTGACTATAGCATAGCACAATAGATGATAAAGTGACTATAGCATAGCACAATAGATGATAAAGTGACTATAGCTTAGCACAATAGATGATAAAGTGTCTATAGCTTAGCACAATAGATGATAAAGTGACTATAGCTTAGCACATCAGATGATAAAGTGACTATAGCATAGCACAATAGATGATAAAGTGACTATAGCATAGCACAATAGATGATAAAGTGATTATAGCATAGCACAATAGATTATAAAGTGACTATAGCATAGCACAATGGATGATAAAGTGACTATAGCTTAGCACATCAGATGATAAAGTGACTATAGCATAGCACAATAGATGATATAGTGACTATAGCATAGCACATCAGATGATAAAGTGATTATAGCATAGCACAATAGATTATAAAGTGACTATAGTTTAGCACAATAGATGATAAATAAACTATAGCTTAGCACAATAGATGATAAAGTGACTATAGCATAGCACATCAGATGATAAAGTGACTATAGCATAGCACAATAGATGATAAAGTGACTATAGCTAGCACAATAGATGATAAAGTGACTATAGCTTAGCACAATAGATGATAAAGTGACTATAGCATAGCACAATAGATGATGAAGTGACTATAGCATAGCACAATAGATGATAAAGTGACTATAGCTTAGCACATCAGATGATAAAGTGACTATAGCATAGCACAATAGATGATAAAGTGACTATAGCTTAGCACATCAGATGATAAAGTGACTATAGCATAGCACAATAGATGATAAAGTGACTATAGCTTAGCACAATAGATGATTAAGTGACTATAGCTGATTGTATCTTACTAGATTATAGATCAGAGGATTCATTTAGAGTACCTGTTGAATAGATAGTCACCTGACTATCACTAGCCACCAGTGAATAACATGTCTATCCCTTTAAGAATAATATGTCTCATTATTATCTCTAGTTGAGGAAAAAAGCTGTCAGTAAATCCTTCTGTTTGATTGAATTGTGTGCAGGACAACTGTATAATCATAAAACATGATACCTGGATGATTTATAAAAAGGGTAGTGCAACCATTAGACTTTAACTGGAATATGGCTAGCGCTGAAGACAGAGTTTCCGTTCAACTCATCTGTCTGTGATTATGACAGAATTGTTTTTGTTTAAAGATAGCCACTACACAACCAGATGCCTGTTTGGAATTGTCAATGGCTCAGAAACAAGCAATATTGCAACGCTAATATATTAAGTCAACTCAAGGTGAAAACTAATTTCTTGGAAATGCCTAGAATTAGAAAATGTCGGTTTTCTGTGTAACGGCAGTACCCCTTTCCATGATTACAATTGACTAGTAGAGAGGGCTAATGTGGGTAATCCTTCAATAAAAATCCATCATACAGAGAAATTGCCTTTTCTTGGCATTGTGTCAGGTATCAACAGGCAAAAAAAGGAATGTCAAGTAACACACAGATTATATCAATGATCCATTAAAGGAAACAATAAAATGATTCCAGAATTGAATGGTCAGTTGCTTTCAGGATAAAGATTGTAAATAGAATTAGCCCTGCTGTTCAAGGTGTGAATTGTAACAATGAAGTTCATACATTTCTATTCTTGTGTCATTTTTATGATTCTTTTAAACAAATCAAACTAATTTCCTGATGTTGCCATTGTTATGACATCCTGACCACATTAACTGCTTAGAGATGACTGTAATTTAGAATTAACTAGAAACATACTCTTTGGGTTCATACAGCAGAGACCTAAACAGCCTGCAGTCTCAATAGTTCAGGTGCAGGCTAATGCCCGTCTAAAGAAGACAATTTTATCATTCTTTGTGATTTGGATGACAAGTATGATTCATTTAAGTGTATGACAAGAGTGACTTGTTGGATGACAAATATGATTCATTAAAGTGTATGACAAGAGTGACTTGTTGGATGACAAGTATGATTCATTAAAGTGTATGACAAGAGTGACTTGTTGGATGACAAATATGATTCATTAAAGTGTATGACAAGAGTGACTTGTTGGATGACAAGTATGATTCATTAAAGTGTATGACAAGAGTGACTTGTTGGATGACAAGTATGATTCATTTAAGTGTAAGATAAGAGTGACTTGTTGGATGACAAGTATGATTCATTTAAGTGTAAGATAAGAGTGACTTGTTGGATGACAAGTATGATTCATTAAAGTGTATGACAAGAGTGACTTGTTGGATGGCAAGTATGATTCATTAAAGTGTAAGAAAAGAGTTAAATTTGACTTGTCAAAGGACAACTATAAAGTATGTAATGAAGATTGACAAGTGTCCCTGTTGAAAATTGATAATGTGAACAGTATGACAAGTGTCCCTGTTGAAAATTGATAATGTGAACAGTATGACAAGTGTCCCTGTTGAAAATTGATAATGTGAACAGTATGACAAGTGTCTCTGTTGAAAATTGATAATGTGAACAGTATGACAAGTGTAAAATTAATGAATTGTGACTTAAGGAATTCTTTGACATGGCAGGATGATGATTATGAAGTGTGCAGTTACATATACAGACCTGGTGTTCTGCTGCTCTCACAAATCCCATATTTGCAGTCGTAGTTACTGCTCCCAATGTATCTCCAGTTCCAAAGATCACCTGCAACACAATTAACCAACAATGTATATTGTCTGCATACCTGAAACGTCATAATACATTTACTTGGGAGATTACTAAATCAGTCATACTTTATAGATATTTCTGCAATATATACGGTCTGATTTTTTAAAATGATTCCAATTTTCTTACCTATTTCTAGAAATAAATCATGTAACACAAACACAACAATATAATATAATAAAAAAAATAGTATGATGTGGTATCTGTTGATGACTTTCCATTCTAGTATGATGTGGTATCTGTTTATGACATTCCATTCTAGTGTGATGTGGTATCTGTTGATGACTTTCCATTCTAGTGTGATGTGGTATCTGTTGATGACTTTCCATTCTAGTATGAAGTGGTATCTGTTGATGACTTTCCATTCTAGTATGATGTGGAATCTGTTGATGACTTTCCATTCTAGTATGATGTGGTATCTATTGATGACATTCCATTCTAGTGTGATGTGGTATCTGTTGATGACTTTCCATTCTAGTGTGATGTGGTATCTGTTGATGACTTTCCATTCTAGTATGATGTGGTATTTGTTTATGACATTCCATTCTAGTATGATGTGGTATCTGTTTAGGACTTTCCATTCTAGTATGATGTGGTATCTGTTGATGACTTTCCATTCTAGTATGATGTGGTATCTGTTGATGAATTTCCATTCTAGTAAGATGTGGTATCTATTGATAACTTTCCATTCTAGTGTGATGTGGTATCTGTTGAAGACTTTCCATTCTAGTATGATGTGGTATCTGTTGATGACTTTCCATTCTAGTATGATGTGGTATCTATTGATAACTTTCCATTCTAGTGTGATGTGGTATCTATTGATGACTTTCCATTCTAGTATGATGTGGTATCTGTTGATGACTTTCCATTCTAGTAAGATGTGGTATCTATTGATGACTTTCCATTCTAGTGTGATGCGGTATCTGTTTGGGACTTTCCATTCTAGTATGATGTGGTATCTGTTTGGGACTTTCCATTCTAGTATGATGTGGTATCTGTTTGGGACTTTCCATTCTAGTATGATGTGGTATCTGTTTGGGACTTTCCATTCTAGTATGATGTGGTATCTGTTTGGGACTTTCCATTCTAGTGTGATGTGGTATCTGTTTGGGACTTTCCATTCTAGTATGATGTGGTATCTGTTTGGGACTTTCCATTCTAGTATGATGTGGTATCTGTTGATGACTTTCCATTCTAGTGTGATGTGGTATCTGTTGATGACTTTCCATTCTAGTATGATGTGGTATCTGTTGATGACTTTCCATTCTAGTATGATGTGGTATCTGTTGATGACTTTCCATTCTAGTGTGATGTGGTATCTGTTTGGGACTTTCCATTCTAGTATGATGTGGTATCTGTTTGGGACTTTCCATTCTAGTAAGATGTGGTATCTATTGATGACTTTCCATTCTAGTGTGATGTGGTATCTGTTTGGGACTTTCCATTCTAGTATGATGTGGTATCTGTTGATGAATTTCCATTCTAGTATGATGTGGTATCTGTTGATGACTTTCCATTCTAGTATGATGTGGTATCTGTTGATGACTTTCCATTCTAGTATGATGTGGTATCTGTTGATGACTTTCCATTCTAGTATGATGTGGTATCTGTTGGTGACTTTCCATTCTAGTATGATGTGGTATCTGTTGATGAATTTCCATTCTAGTATGATGTGGTATCTGTTGATGACTTTCCATTCTAGTATGATGTGGTATCTGTTGATGACTTTCCATTCTAGTATGATGTGGTATCTGTTGATGAATTTCCATTCTAGTAAGATGTGGTATCTATTGATGACTTTCCATTCTAGTGTGATGTGGTATCTGTTTGGGACTTTCCATTCTAGTATGATGTGGTATCTGTTGATGACTTTCCATTCTAGTGTGATGTGGTATCTGTTTGGGACTTTCCATTCTAGTATGATGTGGTATCTGTTGATGACTTTCCATTCTAGTATGATGTGGTATCTATTGATAACTATCCATTCTAGTGTGATGTGGTATCTGTTTGGGACTTTCCATTCTAGTATGATGTGGTATCTGTTGATGACTTTCCATTCTAGTGTGATGTGGTATCTGTTTGGAACTTTCCATTCTAGTATGATGTGGTATCTGTTGATGACTTTCCATTCTAGTGTGATGTGGTATCTGTGGAGGACATTCCGTTCTAGTGTGATGTGGTATCTGTTAAATTGCACATACCAAATTTCCAACATATTTTTTCATTTGTAGTCTGTATAGTCTGATGAGAACACGTGTTGATCAAACGCATTACTCTTTAGTCTAAGTCTAATCTCAATCTTCTAAACTTTATGTTCTTAAGTAAAATAATTTTTTTTTCAATGTGAAAAGTAGAAGGCAGCATATTAAAGATACAGTTAGGGCAACTTGAGTGTCTAAACACCACTGAACTCATTAATAATAATCTACTGAATGCCTTTGGTGACCTAAATTTACCATATATGGTATACTGTAATGTTTACCCTTGATACGACGGCCTTGGTGAAATAGTGACAGAAAAATTTAATTTTGAACCCGATGAAGATCAGGTATTTCAACTTGTGATGCTATGATTGCCAATGATGAACACATAAATTATCTTTTTCCCTTAAAATGTTGTAAATCCAAATAACTACAACCTTTGCTGAAAACAAATATGCCACTGTAGAGATATTGCAAGTAAAACCTGGACCATGTGCACAGAAGGTTGACTTGTCAATAAAATTTTGACTCACATGTCATGTAAAGTAAGGAAATCATTATATTCTACCTGTCTCTCAAGATAACTTTAACATCATTGATTTTTATGCCACTAAAATGAAAGTTTAATGTAATATTATTTCAAGAATAATCTGCAGGCTTTATCTCTAAGGCAATATGTTGGCTGATTACATATGAAATAGTCTGTTAGTATTTTGAACATAATTTTCAGATCGACAGATCAAACATTTAATTGAGAATGAAATCCCAAGTGACAGGCATTGGACAAAATGTTTGATCTCATTCTAATGCTCTAGGGGTAAGATTTTGTACATGAAATACTTTTAGTTTTTATATCATGGTTTTATATAGATTTTTCACATGAAAGTCAAGAAGTAATGAAGCATCTGTAGCCAAAAACAGATATTTTATCTCCCTACACAATTAAATTTTACTACTTCATTTGTCCTTTAATCTGGCTATACTGTATATGATTCTAAATTTGTATGGAAAGGTGCTATTCACTTGTGTGCTTTAAACCATTGAGATAGCAGGGGTTGACTCATAATAGAGATCACGAGACATAACCTGCATGTCACATTTCAAATTCATTTGAACAGTGGCATGGTGCAAAATATACACATGAACATATACTCAATGTTATTTTGGAATCATTGAAAATTAGGGATTTAGTGTGCCTCAACATCTTTATCGTGACTTTTTAGTAAATTTCATTTTTTAAACAAATTTCTAGGCTTCTAACATCACCACCAGTTCTAGAAGGATGAAACAACTGTATGAAGCACTTTAAATCATTGTTAGGTTACACATGTACATATTACTTCCAAATTTGTATTGAAATATGCTATTGTCTTGCTGAAGGTTCCAACTATTGGGGTAATTATTTTGATCTTTATTTGTTCTTTAAAAGTTAGATATTTTCATTTCCTTAATCTGTTTTTGCTCTTAATTAAATGAACTTAATCTTTCCATCTTGAGATTGTGATAATCTTAAACTGCCAAATCCAAGGCGACCTCCACCTGTCAGCCATTTACCCTTCCTCATATTTCATTTGTGGAACTTCATCAATAAAACTCTCTATTTAACTTTTAAATTCCATTTTTGGAACTTCATCAATATAACTATGAATTTAACCTTTACATTTCATTTGTGGAACTTCATCAATAAAACTCTCTATTTAACTTTTAAATTCCATTTTTGGAACTTCATCAATATAACTATGAATTTAACCTTTACATTTCATTTGTGGAACTTTATAAATAAAACTATGAATTTAACTTTTAAATTCCATTTTTGGAACTTCATCAATATAACTATGAATTTAACCTTTACATTTCATTTGTGGAACTTTATAAATAAAACTATGAATTTAACCTTTACATTTCATTTGTGGAACTTTATAAATAAAACTATGAATTTAACCTTTACATTTCATTTGTGGAACTTCGTTAATATAACTATGAATTTAACCTTTACATTTCATTTGTGGAACTTTATAAATAAAACTACAGTAAAACTCACTTGTGTCAAACATTTAGGCATCACCTTGTTACAGGTAAAAATTTTCTGGCTTCGGTCAAATGACTGAATGTGCTCGGTCAGCTATATCCGTGTTAATGATCCCTTTTGTAATTTTCCATTGAATATTTAAATCCCTGTGGTTACACAGGTGCACAGGTGAAAGTTAGAATTGATACAGAATTAGCCAACCAAACTTAAAACAAAATACACTGTAGTCTGTTAACTGTACATCTACTGTGCTTTTTCATGCATGGCTGCCGGGGAAACCAAAGGAAAAACAAGCAATAACTATCGTGCTAATGCAGATTGATAAAAATACTAATTTGTCATTAACACATTTGCTCCTAATTCTAAATACATATACTGATTTCCATGCACATATACTATGTGCAGGTTTTCTTTTATTCTATTTTATGGTTATGCTCTTACGATGCTGTATGTGTAATTTAAAGTTATGCTTCAGTTAGGTTGCCACAGCCTTCATCATTTTGTAACCCATCTCAGTTCTGTTAATGTTATATCAATGTAGAATGTTCATGAGTACCTGTTTATTGAGTTATAGTTTTAAATATTTATGAGGGGACTTGATACTTTAAAAGATATACATGTGAGTAGAATATTTGTATTAATTTAGGTATCAATTTTTGAGTTCTGTGTATGGGAGTGGGTGCATATCCACACGTGTGCTGCAATTCAATGACACGTGTTTCACATTACATTTTTTTTTATTATA